TGGATAATTGATTATCAGTTAATGAAAAAAATAAGAAAAGAACGTTCGATGGTTTGTTTTTTAAAAAAAATTTCGAGATATGAACAACGATGATAATTCTCCAAAAAAAAAATACTTTTGAATGGCCCGGACCACAAATTCAAAAAAACATGCGCAGAAGCGTGAAACAGCCCCTTAAACAAAAAAACCTTGCGTATTGTGTGGTTATTTTAGCTTTAGAAAAAAATTTTGTCTTGATTTTACGGCAGCAGCGCAAATAAAAAAAGATTCGTTAAACGCGCTCCCTAGTGTATTGTGAAAAAAATTTAGATCTAGATGTGTCTTTTGTCTTGATTGAAAAAAAAATAAAGATGGCAGTTGTCAAGTCTCCTGTGTAAAAAAATTTGTTTTCATGAACTGTGTTCTGGTTCAGTAAAAAAAACTATTAGTCAATAAATAGAGACTAATATTTACAAAAAAATTTGATCATATTTCACGGTGCAAGTGTTATGAAAAAAAAGTTGATATGTAATATACATAGTGGGGGCTGGTAAAAAAATCCAACCATTGTTGTTTTTCTCTTCAGTGGAGAAAAAAAATAATAATAATAATTTTATTTTATACAGCGCTAAAAAAAATCTGCTCTAAGCGCTTTCAAATTACAAACAAAAAAAAAGACAGAGTCATGGTAGACTGCGAGCTTAAGATAAAAAAACATGGCTGCCGCTCTTAGTCCGTCCCAAGATAAAAAAAATAAAAATTACAACAATAAAAATTAAAATATAAAAAAAAAAAAATACATACAAGGAATAAAGAAGCATGCATAAAAAAAGGTGGCTCAGATAAGCTCATTCGCCCTTTGACAAAAAAAGTTTTTAGTCCTGCTGGGTGTACATGCCACCCAAAAAAACAGTTAGACTGGTGGGGGAGCCGGTTTAGACGAAAAAAAYCCGTCCATKAGGCAGGYTGTACTGGGTTACAAAAAAAACAGTAGCAGACTCATCGTCTGACCTGACGTTCAAAAAAACTGCCTTTCTCTTCTGATTTATATGTGGAGTAAAAAAAATCTAGAATGGAGCATTCTGTTTCTAACCATTCAAAAAAATCTTCTAGGCTAGGCCTGTATTTCTTGGATGCAAAAAAACTTTCCCATTTAATTTTCATRTCAATGGGTAGAAAAAAAAACACTTGGATGATGTTAATTCTGCAGTCAAATTGAAGGATCTGTATGAGCAGATTACTGCAGACAATGTGTCGGTGAGTGATCTAATGGATGATGGATTTCTTTTATCAATCTTTGGATGTTGTCTTAAGTTTGCTTCATGTGATGAGATGATCTGTGTTGTTTGACCAAATCTTTTGTATAGTGTGTTCATGGCTTCATTGTACTGTGTACTTCCTGGAAGATATCCTTTGAGTGCTTGTTCTGCTTTGCCCTCTACATTATCTAGGAGAGAGAATTTGTAGGAGCTCTCTGTTGCTATAGCAACCATCATCTTCAAGTGATAAAAATCTTGCATGGAATCTTGCAAATTGTTGTGGATCTCCATTGANAGCTAGAAGGTCTGCTGTGTTGCTATTTTCATTTGGGATGCTGGCTCGGGGCTCTGGTCCATTAGCTAACAGTCGATTGACCTTGTCCATGGGGCTTTCTTGGGGGAGATCACATAGATCAACTTCATTAACGTGATTGTTTGGACTTTGTTGAGGAAGATTAGGTAGTGCAATTGAATTGTTGTGAATATCTACACTATCATGAGGAACATTAGGTAATAAATCTTCATTATCATGAATATTATCATCATTGACATTTTGCTGTTCATCATCATCATCATTATTAGATATTACCTGACTCTGATTGTCTAAATCAAATATTTGGTGTTCCTTTTCAATGATTTTTTGCTTAGCTGCGATTTCTATTTGTTGAAGTTCAAGTTCTTTTTGGCGTCTATCAAGCTCTTGTTTATCTTTTAGGTATTGTAGCTCTGCTTTCAGCTGACTTCGTCTTGAAGCATGGGATKTTGTGCCTTTGCTGTGGCTTTTAGAAGCTTTATCATCAGACATCATGACACCAAGAGAAGTTTAAGTTGAAGAAAAATGTTATCGCGGTGGGAATAAAGCAGTCAGAGCCTCCAAATACAGTTTTATTTGTAAAAGGCAGACTTCAACTATGAAGAAAATTACAGCGTTACGTAAAGATTACGTTACTGAAAACTTACAATAAAGTACAAAAACAGAGGCCATATTCTTTGTGGAGTGGCCAAAAACAATATGGAGTACTTGAAATTACCCAAAAGGCTAATTATTACCCGTTCTTAGCCAATCACGTTCAAGTACTTTAAGATGGGATTACACAGAGTAATTATTACCTGTTGATATCCAATCAGAGATAAGTAACAGGTAATAGTTACTTCTCTGGGTAATAATTACTCTTACTCAGAACAGATGTTCGTGAAATAGCGATATCCAAGCAAATTGGAAGGCAAAATACGTTCTGACTAAGTACAAGTTTAAGGGATGAAGCAAAATTCATGTTTTTTCGTAATGAAATTGCTATTAATGACTATTTTTGTACTTTTCGGTAAATCACGCAATTTCCTGTACCGCGCATTTTAATCGAATACGGTTCGTTGCTGTATCAAATACAGAACGGCTCAAATACAAAGCTGACTGATGTGCACCTTTGTTAAAACGATTGTATACGAAATATAGATATCTTTAAACACTTTTCAGCGAATCGGTTTAGAACACGAAATTTTTACGCGATTCGGTAAAGTTCATAAATGCCTGAAAGTTAATAACGGAAAGTATACGTCGACTATGAGATATCATCGTTAAAAATAGCGCAATTCGTTTATGGAATACTTAAGGATTCCAATGAAAATCTACTATAAAGGATTCTGTTTATTTCAACCAAACGATCTTTATCATATCGATTTACGACCAGCTATGCTTTGAACTATGACCCGGGTTAGACAGAAGCTGTCAACTACGNCAAATAGTTCCTATTTTTGTACTTTTCGGTAGTCACGCCACTTCCTGTTTTAATACCGCGCATTTCTAGTGATTACTGAACGCCTCAAATACAARGCTGATTTGGACCRTCTYTCAAAACGATTGTAGAATTTATGTATKRAATATAGATATCTTTAAGCACTTTTCGCTTATCAGCGAATCAGTTTATTTTAAACCAAAAGAACACGAAATTTCTATACGATTCGACGCCTGAAAGTGATCGAAAGTTATAATAACGGAAAGTATATGTMGACTATGAGATACCATCGTTAAAAATAGCGCAATTCGTTTATGGAATACTTAAGGATTCCAATGAAAATCTATTATAAAGGATTCTGTTTATTTCAACCAAACGATCTTTGTCATACCGATTTACAACTAGCTATGTTTTGCACCATGTGCTGAGTTTAGACACAAGCTGTCAACAACGCGCTAAACGTCACCCCAACCAGTCATTTGTAGCGTAGACGGTAATTGTTACCGCTACGTGGCGGGGCTACAGACGTGGTACGTACATTTCAAGTGTGCTGTTTACTCTCTGTAAATGGCATACGTGATGAATGAATCTCATTTACCTGTTGATATCCAATCAGAGATAAGTAAACAGGTAATAGTTACTTCTCTGGGTAATTATTACTCTTACTCAGAATAGGTGCTCGTGAAATATCGATATCACAACTAATTATGAGGCAAACTACGGGCTGATTAAGAGCAAGTTTAAGAGATGGAGTGAAATTGATGAGTTTCTTCGTTATAAAATTGCAAATAGTTCCTATTTTTGTACTTTTCGGTAGTCACGCGACTTCCTGTACCGCGGAATGATACTGTGATAAGATGATTTCAAGCACAAATTTACCATATCGTCTTGACGTACTTTCTAAACTRCTTATAACAATGCTTTGAATTTAAGTTGTCAAAACATGTCGTTTGTTTTCACTTAGCCGAAAATTGACATTTTAATGTTGAAATCACTTTAAACTTGGATTGTTTGAAACGCAACATTCAACACATTTTTTATTCGTATCAATTGCTTTCAATGACAACTCTAATTATTACTAAAGACGCGCTCATAATAGACGCGATCGAGGCTCATATAAAGGCTCGAGATGACTAGCTTCGATCATAAGACATTATCAGTGTACAAACATAAATTCAAGTCCTACGTAAGTAACAGTAGATTATAATCTACAGTTAGCAAATATTTTTTCCCATGAATTTTATGATTTTATGATGCTGGGCTTTTATCAGGGCTTTTATCTAATTATAATACTTTGATTATACGTATATTCTAACTGCTATGGTAAGGGTATGCCATTTATCTTATTGTAATAATACTAATAAATGTATCATTGCTTTTTCTTTCGGGGTCTTCCTCTTTTTTTTGGTTTAGTATTTTCCTTGTCAGTGTCCGTCTCCCTTTCATCTTTCCTTTTCCTTCCACTCCCCTTTTGCTTGGCTTTCTTATTTGCTTTCTTATCTTTTCCTGCGATGATCTAGAAAATTAATGTTACGATGATATCATAAACGATCATGAGGAACAACAACAATAAAGAAAAAACATATTAAGTACACTAAGGCTGTGTTTTCACTAGGCTTTACTCGCTATAAATTTCTCGAGATGTTTGTTTAGGGACCCAGCATAAAAATACGACTGTTTTCACCGGTGTTGCTTTAGTGAGTAAAAATATGCTCAGATTATCATCTCAAGAAGTTAGTTGTGAATTCGGCTTCTTTTTCAAGATCTTCGAATGTAAGAATAATTCATCAGCCAGGTAAATTATATATTTCTATAAGCTTTCCTTTAGTTGAAAGGCTCAGTATGACCAGAGTGACTGATAAAGAGATAAGGTAAATAACATGACATATATCTGTCATTTATAGTGCGGTGATTGGCTGATGTGTTTACCTTGCCAAACTAGTGTTTTTTTATATAGCGGCTTTGAAAGTGAAAACAACTATTTAACTCAAACTGGAACTTTCCTATGAAACTCCAACTAATTAATAACATAATCTATTTCTTATTCAACTGCATAATCCCATAAGAACAATCTTAGCAATTTTACTTTGATTTTTTCACCTTGGGAAACTTGTACTGTTTCTCCTCTAGTCTCTTTAATTCGCCTTGCTGTCTCTTTGCTTCTTCACTAAGTGGTTCGTTCTCCTCCCTGAATTTGCCAATAGTAGGTAGTAACCAGTTATCCAAAGCTAGTTGTTCTTTTGCACCTTCAGTCATCGAGTCCCATGTGTCTATTTGTTTCCGTTGTTCTTCGATAAATGACTCCCACCATTTTCTTTGGATGTCAGACATCCTTGCAGTAGACCGTACTTTTAATTTTAGGTCCTCAAGGTCAACCTCATTTCTCACACCTCCCAGTTTCGGTCTTAACAATTGTGGTAATCCAGTAGGGTTGGTTGTAAGAATTTGGATTGGGTCATCGTCATTCTCACATGTTTCGTCATCTGCCCAGTTCTTGTAAAGCAGAAATGCTTTTCCATTCTCGCCAAGATAATACTTAAACGAGTGAGGGAAAACATGATTTTTTAGGGGTTTGATGATGTGTGGTTTTAGCCACCCCGAAATGTCGAACATCACGTCTATATCACAACTTTCTGGAGTTGGTTTGTATGATGTCGCAATGGTATTGTGGAGCTCAGGGAGTGTCATGACGTCTTTATTCCTTAGCTTTACGGAAATTCTGCTGAAAAACTACATAAATAATATAAATAAAAAATAAGTAAGAACAACTTTGAACTTCAATCTGCCAACAAGAATTACCTGGTCCACATCTTCATGTGCATGGCCGACCATTAGATATGAAATGTGCACCTATTGAAAAAATTAGCAAGACGCTTTTAATTGTTGTCGTTTTAACTAGTTTATTAGCGTATTAAAAATTAAAAAAAATCCTATTAGATGGGGGATACCATTTAAGGATTTTTTTTGTTCTTTTTTAAATATTTTTTTATGACCTACTATAATTATGTTGTTTTACCTCTTTAAACATTTTTATTTCAACAAGATGAGATGCAAATGCCATAATGTACTTATTTTTGCACTCTCTGTAGCAATTGTCCATCTGAAGGAGCAGATAAGGAGGTAGCCGATTGTCCTACAACAAAACAATTTTTTAATCATAATGTAGCATGTATGTATAAAAGGTGTACATTGTACATTTGAGCTATCATGGCCAACCTATAAGTTTTCCATTTTACTATTAGTGAACCATAACTTCTCTAACCACCTCCCGTTTTCCTAAGTTATAATACGAACATTACCTTTGTTAGGCTCTGAAAAATGCGAAGTAGAACATTTAGGGTAAAATTGGTGTCATGTTTCCACTGTAGAAGATCAACAAAACTAAAAACGCGTCTATGGCCGTGTGAGATAGCTCCAGTAACGTGAGACTTTAGATAGTGAGATTCTTCTGCCTATTGAAATAAGACCAAATAATAACATTTTAATTCAATTCAATTCAATTTTGGTTTATTCGCACTTTTCTTTTCATTATTTACATTCGTGATTGTTTAATCTTATTTGATATTTCACATTTTCATCTATAATTTTAAAGCAAATAATTAAAACCATTACTTTTACAGTGCTTCTATCAATTGACTTTAATACTTAGTGCATGTAGAATATATTCCAGATAAACAATCAATAAATTTTAAGACTTACTTTAGATATAGTAGTCACGTGTGGAAGATTTGTCTTGGCCTGATCCATGCCGTCCACAATTAGTGATAGATATTTATTTGGCTCTAATTCCGCCTTAAGTCTGTTACCGTAGTAATGATTTCTTTCTGCACTGTAGAATATAGATACATAGAGCTTAATAATTACTATTAGCTGTCTAGTTTTAAATTGAGATGAATTACCATTGTTGTTGAAGATGTCGTTGTCGTTTGTCTTGTATCTCCATTCGCTGTTGTTCGTCCCGAGTACTTCTTAGAGAATGTTTGATTAGTGTACACACACCACACTTTGTAAACTTGTTTTGCTTGAAACAATTAAGAAAAAGTATTATATTATTCACAATGAATAGTTTTTGAAATAATAATTAGTATTTCGTGATTTAGAATAAATCTAGGACTCTAGCCCGTGAAACCCCTCCCTTCTATCTTTTCACCAATCCGGGTTAAAGAAATACGGTAACATCATACAATATAGTACTCACACGATAGTCATGTGTTTTAACAGATATTCCAGTTTGTCATTGTTACCTTTGGGATTATAATCTTTTTGAAATGCTGTCTCCACATTTCTTTGAAAGCTGATTTGCTTATGAATTCTGTCTTGCTAGCCAAGCAGTCGTTCTTATATAAATTGTGAAGCTCATTTTTGCTTTGGCACGATGGCAGGCATATTCTGTCCTCATGGGGCATTCGGTCTCCATAGCTCTCAACGTGCCCTAAAAAGACCCGGCATTATTAGTTAAATCATAGAAAGGTTTGTTTTAATCTTCATGAGTACTTACTTTTCAGCCATGCTATAGCTTTACGCATTTTAGCAGACATCCATGTAACTCCACTACGAAAATTCTGTCCTGAGGTTCTTCCCTCATCGTATTCTTTCAGTAAACCATAAAACCTAAGTTAAATCATAACATAAATAAATGCAAAACTCAATGCAAAAGAATTTGTCCAGATTGTACTTGCGCTTAATCATTGACAATAAAGCAAAAGTATTCAATTGATATCTTACCATCCATTAGAAATGCCAAGTAATTTATACCATGCGTTATGGCATACTGATTTCCCGTAAATATGAAAGGTGTACTTTCGCCTCTGGTTTTCGCCATAGTGCATATTTAGTGAAAATGCGGTCAAAAGAAACTGCCTTTGCTGGTCTTCTGACTGTTCACAGAAATAGGATCTCCACTTTTTGATTTCGTCAGTTTCGAATTGCTTTATGCACGTGTTTTTTTTACAACAGCGCAGCACACTTTTTTAATGTGCACTTCTTGCAATGCTTTGGATCTGCGAACATTACGTGGTTTCTGCACAAAAGAACACAGTTACATTTATCAGTATTTATTACTGCTGACCTTTGACGGAGCACAAAACGTCGGCATCAATACTTACACTGTGTTTTTGGTACTTTCGGCGAGACATTCTTTTTGTCGTGCAATCGATGAGTTTAGTTCACGCTGGTACGAACGAAATCTCTGTAGGGCTTCCTCCTAATAATTTAGTATGCATTTTGTTAAACCAAAACGTATCTAATCTTAAGGTACTAGATACGGATGTCGACTCAAAAAGTTTGACCTCATTTTTATCGCTTAATAGTATATTTATACTATAGTGAACACACTGCCGACATTTCGCTTCAGTGTTATATCGTTTTCGTCTAGAAAATCAAGTGAAAAGATGTATCTAAGGAAGCCATTTTGAAGTCATACGAGACCGTTTATTGTTATTTGATCAAACTGATCATGCGCACTTGAATGGTCCACGCGAGAACGCGAAGCTTAATTTCCGTCAAAGGTGTGAGAAAGAATATTTCAAATAACTTTGCACATGTTTACAACGAGCAAATTGAGAACACAGAGTCCAAAGTTATCTCCGAAGTATCTACTAACATGGCCTCAAGTAAGTGTGGAACTCCGTGTTAGTAATATTTGTAAGTTTCGGCGTTGACTGGTATTGCTTTCAATTGTTTTCAAGAAGTCTCATCAATCGAAGTGTGAAGTGTTGTGGATATATACTGCGCATGCGGTGTAGCCCGTCGTCAAGGATGACGTCATTTGTTTTCGTTCGCGGGAATGCAGTCCGAGTATACGACGCGTGGGCGACCTATTTTCGCTTTTATTCGAAGGGAATCGTAATGTAATCGATTTTTTTTCGTGTATTATGGTGGTCAGCGGTAAAGAGTTCAAAATGGCGAGGTCATTTCCTCGATCGAAAGCGTAATCGGCAAGATTTTACTTGTTTTGTACTCTTAATGGCCACTCTGCGACACGCGTTCGGTAATAAATCTACTCCGATTTGTCGGATGGCCATTATTTTTCGACAACATTTAAACAAGAGTCTAAAGAAAAGAATATTAAGAGCCCCAAGTTGTTGGATTGACTTGAAAATTTTTGCGAGTGAAAATGCAAAAAAACTCTAATGGAGCTTGGAATTTTTTATCCAACTTGGGGCTCTTCAAATTATATTTATTAACGACCCAGGCTCATTTATGGTAAGTTTGGTGCTTTCTGTATGTAAAGCACCCGAGATTTTCAACATTTACTAAAAAAATCGATTGGATTGCCTGTGGCTTTTCGACACCTTAAGTGCGAAAATTCACACTTTTGACACGCAATTTCGGATGGAAATTCTATACAGATATATCTTATGGACTTCATTTCAACTTAAGTCTTGTACAGTTTGAGCTATTTCGTTTAAATTGGACCCCACTTTATCCGTATCTAGTACCTTAATCC